ATCAGTACTAGATTAACATCTAAAGCCAGAGATGGAAGGAACACTCCTACTTCCTAGCTTTGTGACTTTAGGAAGTTACTTACCTCACCTTGTCTCAATTCTCTCATCTATAAAATGGGGATGATATTTGTAAATACCACATACATGAGTTCTGAACTTTAGGAATTCTATAAGCAAAGAAACATCTAAAAGAGAAGTAACTTCATTGGAATGGGAAAATAAATATAAACAAATATTTCCAACATAGAGGAAAAAATTAAAGAGCTACCAAATAAGATTGGGTGAAGAAGAACAAAGTATGTCTGGCTGAAAAGAAAAAAAAAATAGCAATCAGATTGTCAGTGATGTTGTTGATAAATGAACACAAGCACTGAACAGAAAATAAAAGTGAATTATTGGGATATGAGATTGTATGAATTAAAAATAGAATAAAGCAATAGTGTTTGCAGTTTTCATTTGTCTATAGCATGTTATATGATCAGTTTTATAACAGCAAAATGTGTGCCCTCACTCTCTGTTACGGTTTCTATATGCAGTGTCTCCCCAATGGTTGATGTGTTAAAGATTTGGTTCACAGCTGATAGATCCAATAATTGAGAGGTAATTGGATCATAAGCATGCTAACTTCACCAATGGATGAATCCAGGAGGTGGGTCCCTAGGGGTACACCCTTGAGGTTTACACCTAGTCAACAGTTCTTTCCTATTATCATCTGCTCACTGGCCACCATCAGGTGAGCAGTGGTGCTGCACTTCACTCTTCTGTCATGATGTTTTACCTCACCTCAGGTCCAGGAACAATAGAGCCAACAAACAATCATGAACTGTAACTTCTGAAACCATGAGCCAAAACAAATCTTTCCCCCTGGTATTTTGTTACAATGGCTAAAAGTTTAAGACAATCCCCCAAACACACACACACAAAACCAAAGTAAAACAAAACAAGCTACACTTTTAAACATGCCATGTATGTGTGTATTTTTATTTTAAAATAGCAATCACCTGTTGCCCTAGGTCTGAAAGTTACGTCTCAACCACCAGATTTGAATCCACTAGATAAGAACTATTTGTAATATTACATTGTATCACAAACCCAGTTATGTGGTCTAAGTTTTTGTTTTCAACACTTTGTGACATATGTGTTTGTAGATGTTATTACTTCTCCTCAATAGTAAATTTTCAAATGTTGGGAAAGGAGCATTTTAATAGTCCCAGTTTTAGTGTCATTCAAAAAAAATATCAGATGAGTAGATTTGCATGGAACTGTCATGAAAGGAAACAATTATTTCTATAAATCAATGATAAATATTTCTAAATTGGCTTAACTTTGGCAAATATGTATTTTGCTTGAGTTTTACATTTTTATTCCAAACTTTTGTTTGATTTTTTTAATTTAAGAAATACTGAGACTTGTTAGTCTATATTAGTCCTTCACTTAAGTATCATTAATATAAATAAGAAACTCAGCACTGGAACTGGCATTAAAGATAAGTGCCCCTTTCCCACCCCTCGCATAGCTTCCCACAATATACCAGAGATGCTATTTTATCAATTTAACGTATTTTCATATCAACCAGGTCTCCCAAGACAGTGCCAACCACAAAGAAGGTACTCAGCAAGTATTTGTCAAATGAATAAAGAGAAACTATGTTAGAATCACCTTGTGAAATAACTACAGTTTTGAGACTCTTAAGCCTGCTTTAAAATAGACTTTAGACATAATGAACATATGCTAGTTGTGGAAGATTTATTACCTGGCATTGGTAATCTGTTCAGACAAGTGGCAGAAAATTTGAAAATTACTTTGTTTGAATGACAGTTGTGAAATGTCCCACCAAAAATTTAGTAATAACTGGTTCAAAGAAATATAAGAACACAGGGCAGATTTTTAAAAAAATTTAAAAGAAAGTTGTGCAGTCACTGAGACTATGAACTTACTAATAAAAGCACTGATTGTCTCATCTGTAACATAGAATTAATTAATAATATCTTTTTTGATTTTTCAAGGTCATTAGTGTGTCTTCCCTACATAAGGTGAAAACCAGCAGATCTTTATGGGAGGCCACAGTATATAAGAGCTTGATCCTTCCAAAGCAGGAAATACCCCAATTGAAGTAGGGGTCATAGAAATATTGGGGAATTGCCATATTCATAATTATTATTATTCTATCTTAAGGAATCTCCGCTCTCATTCCACTGTTGGTCCCAGATGTAATGTATGGCTAAAGAATGTATAGGTCATGTATCAACCTTAGCTATGGACCCAGAGATGATGGCTCCCAGCCAGAACAGAACACAGGACAGAGGGACGACTCTAGCACTTTGGACTTGATAAGAGTTTTATCAGTCACATTTAGGAGATGCCCCGGCCAGCCAGAGACCTGTTATTACTTCATCAGCTCAAGAACAAGACTACGTGTTTTTTTGTTTGTTTGTTTGTTTTAAAGACATAGTAAAACATTCCTCCATACATTCTGCATGGCTGTCCCCTTCTAGTTCTTCCTTGATCAGTGGATTGTTCTGATTGGCTGCTCTGAGTCCACTGCTGTCAATGGCTAATTCATGTTATAAAGTTCTTTTAAAAGGTAGTTTATTTTGCTTCCAATTTAATTCACATGTCTAAATCAACGAATTTATAAACTTGCTTGTCATAAACATATGGTAAGTACTGCAAACTCTGGAGCCAGCTTTCTTGGTTGAATTTAATCCTCAATGCATAACTAACTATGACCTTAGGCAAGTTGATAACACACCTCTGTGCCTCAGTTTCTCAGTCTGTAAAATGAGAAAGAGAATTCTGACAATCAAACAATTAAATGAATATGTATATATATATGTACATATATATATCCTGGATTGTTTTAAGTGTTTTATATTTTATACTTACTATTTTCAATATCATGTGTTTTTAATAGGATCATTTTTAGGACCTAACTCTAAACACACACAAAAAAATATATAAATGTGCCCTTAGTTTAAACACAATAGCTGTTAGCAATATCATCTAAGGCTTATAACTAAGATAGCTATTTAATTTTGTTATTTTTAACATTATTTATAAAAACTCCTATTGAAATTTATTGTAATTTAATATTCAGAAAATGCACAGACTATGAGTTACTGCTTTTCAAATAATCCAAGTTAATACATTGTATAAAAATGTTTATAGTAATTTTGAGTTTTATATATATATATGCTTAAAGCATATCAAGGTAAGAATTTCTTTGAGCTAATTTGTGCTACATAGTGATAACACAAACATTTGTTGGTATCAGTTTAAGCCCATTTGTTTTTCCTTAAAAAGATTTGTGTATTATTTCTCTACTAATCAAAATATAAAAATAATTATCCTACATTCCAACCTACTTTTTTAGCTGATTAGAATATTAAATGAGGAATTATAAACATTATCAAAGTATCACATTTACTGCAAAATATCATATTACTCAATACCAAGTCATTAAATGCAAAAAAATCTTGTAAGAGAAGCCTTATAACTCAGTGTAGACTTTGAATAATCACTCATAAAATCTTACTTGCCACAGTTGAGTACTTAAATTTTATTGGGTACTTTTTGTTAGGAAGTGGACCCAATCTTTTATGTTCCTTCATGTCATTTGTTTGTTTGTTCTTACACATTTAGTAATTACTGTTTTTACTTCAAGAAAGTCAACAGCCAAAGTATAATAAGCAACTCACTTAAAATAAAGATGATAACATACGATTACTACTGAATCATAAACACTATAAATTCTGAGCATTTAAAGATTTTAGAAACCAGGAGAAATTCCTTTGGTGTGGGACTCATGGACTCTAGACAATTGTGCCAGCACTTGCCTAGGATGCCCAAAGCTCTGGGTTCAATCCCCAGCTCTGAAAAAAAAAAAAAAAAAGGTTTGTGTATATGTGTTTTCCAACTCAGACCATATCCTAATACTTGTACTGCTAAGACTCTAGTCCAGGACACCACTACCTTCCTCCTAAACTCAGCCTTCCTACATCTACTTTTTCCTTTTCTATAGTACATTCTATGAGCAGAAGCCAGATGCATGACAAAGATGAATGAGATCCTATCCATCTTTTATCTAAATCTTTCCAATGGCTTCATTAAAATTGAAACAAAATCCAAATACTTTATTACCATATGCAAGATTTTACCTTTCTCCTTGACCTCCAACTCCTATCATTTGACCTCTCTCACACCAACAATGACAAAGTTCAGTATTTTTAGCATTCAATTACATTCTTTATGTTATTTGAATATACTTCATGATCCATACATTTCTGTTCATGCTTCCTAGAATTCTCCCCTTAGGTCTCTGATTGCCTCTTTTATGTCCTTATTCAAATAGTATCTCACGGAAAGCTCTCCCTCACCCTTTAAAACAATAGACCTCCCTCTTCAAGACATTTTCTATCCAATCACCCACTTTATCTTCTTAATAGGACTTGCCACCATCTGATATTATATTGGTCACATACTCATGCTTGTGCTCTTGTGTTCTCTGTTCATTGCTGTAGTGTTAATATCTTCAGACATGTCTGACACATAGTTGACAAGCAGAAAATATTTGTTAAAAGAAAAAAATGAATGTTTTCAGTATTGAAAGATTTTTGACTCCATGACTCCATGGAAACAGCATTCCTGTTTCCATAATCCTATTTTAGCTCTTACTTATCTCCTTTCTGATATATATCTTAACTTTAGCAATTCTGTGACTATATTAGATGCTAACTTCTAAAGATAGATAAAAAGAACTTTAGTTGTCTTTGATGACAATTTTCTCTTTCCAAAACCAACTAGGACATAAAAAGGAAATAAAGATGCTTGCACAGATTTTTTTTTTTTCTGGTATTAAATCTTCTGATTCTTACGTAGTCTTTACCTCAAAGTGTGCCTCTCATTAAGAGTAAAGTCTAGAATGGGTATTAATGTTAAATCATCTTTCTGTGTTTACACAGGTGATGACAGAAATTAAGTGTGTTTTGTTTTTCTTTCAGATCTCCAACTAAAGATATGGATTCAGAAGAGAAGGAAATTGTGGTTTGGGTTTGCCAAGAAGAAAAGATTGTGTGTGGGTTAACTAAGCGCACTACCTCTGCAGATGTCATCCAAGCTTTGCTTGAGGAACATGAGACGACACTGGGAGAGAAACGATTTCTGTTGGGGAAGTCCAGTGATTACTGCATTGTAGAGAAGTGGAGAGGCTCAGAGCGGGTTCTTCCTCCACTGACTAGAATCCTGAAGCTCTGGAAAGCATGGGGAGATGAGCAGACTAATATGCAGTTTGTTTTGTTGAAAGCAGATGCATTTCTTCCTGTTCCCTTGTGGAGAACAGCTGAAGCCAAATTAGTGCAAAACACAGAAAAACCTTGGGAGCTCAGCCCGGCAAATTACATGAAGACTCTACCACCAGATAAACAAAAAAGAATAGTCAGAAAAACTTTTCGGAAGCTAGCTAAAATTAAGCAGGACACGGTTTCTCATGATCGAGATAGTATGGAGACATTAGTTCATCTGATTATTTCCCAGGACCATACCATTCATCAGCAAGTCCAGAGAATGAAAGAGCTGGATCTGGAAATTGAAAAGTGTGAAGCTAAGTTCCACCTTGATCGGGTAGAAAATGATGGGGAAAATTATGTTCAGGATGCATATTTAATGCCTAGTTTCAGTGAACGTGAGAAAAAGCTAGACTTGCAATTGGAAGAAAACCAGATTCTAGAGGACCTGAATGAAAGTGATGGAATTGTACAGCTGGAAGAACGACTAAAATACTACAGAATGCTCATTGATAAGCTCTCGGCTGAAATAGAAAAAGAAGTACAAAGTGCTTGCATTGAGATAAATGACGATGCAGAAGGGGCAGCATCAAGTGAACCAGAAAGCTCTGATTTAGAAAGCATTAGGTGTGATTTAGAAAGAAGCATGAAAGCTGGTTTGAAAATCCACTCTCACTTGAGTTGCATCCAGAAGGAGATTAAATGCAGCGACTCATTGCTTCAGATGAAAGCAAAAGAATATGAGCTACTAGCCCAGGAGCTTGGTTCACTTCATATGAGCAACAAAGATGGATGCCAGTTAAAGGAAAACAAGGAAAGGAATCTGAGGTTCCCAGTAGCAGTGGGGAGGTTGCCCCCTTTACTCAAAGGTTATTCAATACGTATACAAATGACACAGACTCGGACACTGGCATCAGCTCTAACCACAGTCAGGACTCCGAAACAACCGTAGGAGATGTCATTCTGTTAACATAATTTACCTAACTTCTTTGTGACTTACTTTGATGTGTTTGTGTAATTTAATAGGAAAACTAATTTCAAATATAGCTTTGTGAAAAAAATCATGTTAAAGTATTCTGTAATTTTTCTAATGAAATTTGTTAATTGTTTTGGTATAAGATTTCCAAAATGGCTTTCATTATTATAGGTCCAAGCAATGAACTACTTATTAGGAATGCAGCAGGACTAGATTATAGTTACATAGCACAGAAATAATTTAATGGGAATTGTTTGATAATCTCCCATAGCGTCTATAAAAAAAGAATTATATCAGCCTCAAAATAATTCTAATATTTCACAGTCAAAATATGGAAACTGTGCATATGAGAGGTAAAATTAAAATTTGCTATTTTTTTATAAAAAATCTATAAGGTATATGATAGCTACTATGTTTTAACTGCATCAATTCAAATCTTGGTTCTTTTAATACTTAGATTGTAAAGCATGTCACATCCGTCGTTTCCTGACCCCATCTACCTGTTTAAGTCTCTGTGACAGGCAGCTGTTTGGACATGTCTAAGTCCTGGGAGAGGATCAGAGTGAGTATAGTAGAGACAAAGAACTCTAAAATTAATAAGAGCTACACATAGGCTTTTGCTATCTGGTTAATGAAATCTTCTGGTCAAATCCATGCTGTGTGCAAGCTCATTCTTTGTGTGAGATGCAGTATAAATTACAGAAGAATTGAAGCAGTCTTAGATTGTTTATTTATGCCCTATCTAAATAAGTTGAAGATATGAAATTTATGGTTTCTGTGTGTGTAAATAATGCCCTATATGCTGTAATTATTTGCAATTTGACTCTGAACTTACAGAGATGAATCATGTGGACAAAAGACTTTTTCTGGTGTACTGTAGCCCAAGTTCTTAGTACTTCATCTGAGGTACTTTAAAAGAGCCTATTAACTTGAAAAAGTGCTAGCAGTATGTAAAGCATGCTAGTAGAATCCAAAAACTTGAGTGGATTCCTTAGGTTATCTCTTGACTGACAGTCATGACAGTACCAGACTAAGTTTGATTTTGTTGTTATTTAATTAGGATTTTTTTTTCTTTTTCCTTCCATTCTTATCCTCTGCATGCCTGCCTTTCTTCCTCCTTTTTTTTCTGCCTCCATTGCTCTCTTCTCAGCTCTCCTCCTTTTGGCTTTCCCATTAGTGAACACAGAATGTAATCATATTGAAAACAGTTCATTTTATCATTTTTATTGTGCTGTTAACTGAATATTGCTGCAATTTATTTTTATTTTAGTTCACACCTTCCTTGTATGTCAGAATATGTAAGTAGAAATGTTACTTTATGTAGTTGTCCTATGTAGATAGTGTTTCTCCCCCTTGTGAATATTGCCATGCAGGTTTTAACTCAAGTTTTTTCCTTTTTTTTTTTCACTTTTGAAATGTGAAAGTATTTAGCTTTGTAAGTAAGAGCCTTATTGTTAACTCAGTTTTCTTCTAAAATATTATTAATCTATTGATTCATTTCTCCTTCCCTCGGCTTTTTCAATGTCTTTGGGAAGGTATTTAGAATTTCCATAGTGTTTCATTTGGGGGGAGCATCCATGTCATCATTTCAAGCATCAAGACATTTGCAGGGCATATTTGAAATTGGAAATATGGAAATATGGTGAAATACAGTGATAAACAATAAGTAATAATACTAACAAAAGTACTCCTTTTTGAAAAGAAGGAATTTGTGAAAGGGAAGCTTATCTGCCTAATACCCCATTAAATCATTAAATAACCTGGTAGACTACTGATATATTCATTGTTTATTGCTAGGATTTAAATTCAGAAGAACATCACAAGTGATACCAATTGTAATGATGGTTTCCTAAGGTGAAAGTCATCTCTTTGGATTCTTAGTGTGTTAAGAAACATTGCTTATGTCCTTATGTAAATTGAATATCTGAATTCAAAAGAGGTTCTGCTAAGAAATAGACTTTTATTTTAGAAATTTTAACTACTGTTTTTGTGTTGTTAAGTACAATGATGAAGCCTAAGGGCTAATTATTCTATATTTTACAATAAGAAAGCTTTTGGTAGAAAACAGGACCATTGATTTTTAAATTCATTTTAGAATTTATAGTTTTCTATACAAAATGTATTTGAGCTTTTGATCATTACAATATTAAATCATTTATCAGTTACCTCTAATTTAGAATCTCTGATTTAGAGTTAAAATACTAAAATACAGTGCCTTCATGTCTGGATACTGAGCTATTCATTATTAAATTAAGTGAGAATTAGAGTTATAAATATAGGACTTGATAGAATGTTTAATGTTTTCATTATCTACAGAAACTTTAAAAAACTGATTATAAATTCTACAGTAACCTGATAGGTTATCTATGAAATGACTATATCAAGCCAAAGCTGAGTGATTTTTACTTCTGTAACAACACCTACATTTTCACTGATGGTGCCCTTGTTATCCTTCCACTTGGGATAGCTGTTTTATATTTCATTTGCCATACATAAAATGCTATCCATTTTCACAGAGCTTAAATGTGTTCTTTTCTTCAACATATTTTTATTCTGTTCAACCAGTTGTAATCTGGTGTCTCTGAGTCCACAAACATTTTAGCTGGACTTCTCATTTATTTCACCATTTGTATTCTACCTTAGGTTGTATTTATTTATGCACTTATCTAGCTCCTCATTGGCTTCTTGTCACATTACTTTATCATCTTTCTTCTTAGCTTTGTTCATTGCTAGCAACTTCTTTACATCCTTACTCAGTTTTTGAAATTGCTAAATTTTATAGGGTTAAATATTATTTTGTGTACTTTTTAACATGATAAATGATGCTTGTTCATTTTTTACATAAATATACATATTAGCAGACTTACAGGACTTCCACCAATAATCTTTTGGATTAGACATTAAATTTTCATGAAACTATGGAGTTTTTCAATGTGGCATCATGTTTAGTACCAATAAAAATTCTATATTATTTTGGAATACCATATAACATTTTAATTTATGTATACATTGTAGAATGTTCAAATCACAATAAGCATTTAATATTTTACTTTGTTCTTAAGTCACAGAATTACTGATTTTAAACAACTCAAATGTTATCTTTTCAAAGCCAATTTGATCATAAAATCATAGAAATTTCTTAACATTGTATACTTATAAGAAAATAAATTTTATAGAACTGGTATTGAAATGATAGACACACAAAGTAACTTTGAAACATTCTAAATAAATGGTCTGTTTTATTTTTATTCTTAATTACAAATGACCCACTGCTACTGTGTAGAAGCTATTCTAAGCCATTAAATTTATTTTTTATAGTTATTTAAATATCTACTACACATGGCAAAATCTATTTCTCTAGCTAGATTTTAGAATTTTTTCAAAGTAGAGTTATTGTTTTTCTATTTAAAACATATTTTTCTAGTGACAAGATTGATCCTTAGATTGATTTGCAAGAAATATATTAGATTGTTTCTTTTCATAGTTCCTGTTTCATTTAATAACCCTTGGGTGACAAATATAAAGCATGTATCATTTCTCCAAGTTATAACTGGTCAAGAATAATAAAAGAAATCACTGTACCCTTTCACATGAAGTTGTGTTTGGGGTGTGTCGCTTGAGTATATTAAAAATACATTTTCTATCTGTTTGAATTGTATAGCTGGTAAACTAACAATTTATTTTAAGATCAGTTATTGTTTTGAGACAATGTATACAGCATACACATCTAACAAAACTTACTAAGTTTCATAAATATTTGTTCTGATTTATCATGAAAGAATGTCCTAGCTTTTATTTATGATATCTTCCTTTCTAGAATGAAATCACTCTAATGTAAAAATATTCAAGAAAATATAAATCTTCTCTACTAGAATTCATTTTGTCACTACTCTTACTTCTCTAAACAAGCCTTTAATTTTGATTATTCTAAATATAAATCACTTAAACAACAAAGAAATTCACTAGCTCATTCTATAAATAATTCTCTAAAAGATTGTGATGTCCAGTAAAACGTAGTAGTAAGTTAACAGTATTTTCTGAGCCAATGTATCTCAATAGAGAAAATACACAATAGTTATTTTGTTAATCTAGATTTAATTTGTGTTTTCAACAACTGTTGGAATTGAGAGGTGCAATTTTTAAGTTCTGGTGACAAAGGCATCTTTTAACTTTAAGAAACATTGACTTAATCTTTATGGAAATTAATCCTTTTAAATCTAAATTGCAAATGCACTATTCATAAGCACAATGTATACTTGTTTGTTTTTTCACTTATGTATTTTATTTAAAAATGAATAGAAGTTACCTAGTTGGATATATTGATTATTAACTCATGTTGTATTTTTTGTCTTATTAAAAAGGTCTTTACAGTACTTAATGATTTTAAAAAATAAATTTATCCCTTGTTTTTTATAGTACATTAGTGTTTTAGTTTTAAACTTTTGAACCATCTAGAATTAAATTTTTTTTACAAAGTTTTAAAATGAGATGTCCCACAACATTTATGAAATAAATTTTTACCAATATTTTAAAATGCCATCTTTTTTGTGAACCAAACTCTGGTATGTATTTTGCATCTGTTTTGGACTTTCTATGTTATTCTCTTGACGTGTCTGAGCTGTGTATTCATGTTCTAGCACTATAGTTTCTCAATTACTATGTCTCTCTAATCCTGTTACTATTTGGTATGTTAAAACAATTATATATTTGTATTACCCTGTGTTTTTCAAATTTTTCCTATTGTTCTTCATTTTTAAATATTGTAATATTTAGAATTACCTTGCGTAGCTACCAAAATATTCTGTGGGGGGACTGGAGGTATAGCTCAAGCAATAGAGTGCCTACCTGCAAGTGTGAAGCCCTGAAGTTCAAATGCTAGTACTGCTGCCATCCCCCCCCAAAAAAATCTGTAAGTATTTAAAATTGGGATCTTGTTAAATTTATAGAACACTTAAGTGGAATTTTCTCCTTCAATGCTGAGACTTATCTGAGAACACCAAGTTTATTTTGGTCTAAGTCATCTACTGTGTTCCTAACAGCAATTAAATTTTTTCTTCAGTTCTTCCTTCCTTCCTTTTTGTGTTTCTGTAATGAATGAGCTTTTCCTTCCCAATTAGATTATGTCTGCCTTCCACTTAAATGTGGAAATTCTCTATTGGTAGCCTGTTT